CCTCCCACAACGCGAGTATAGGAGGTTATTGAACAAGCCCTGTTTCTTCGAATCCATCCTTACGATCTTCCAATTATCTGGCTTATTGCCAGCCCACTGAGTGGTCCGGTAGTGCAACCCATGCGGGCCAATGGTCACCATTCCTGACGTGTTCCAAGCTGTAGAACTTGGTTTGTTTGGGGCCAGAAGGCTGCCCGTCGTTTCTTTTGGACAACTTGGTTAACGATAAGGTGCACCTGAATTCGTTGCTGGGGGTTGGTACTATAGCTATACTATAATGTCTAAAAAAGGGCGTGGTCGAGGGGAGGGGCATAGTATCTAAACAAAAAATTTGTCTCTTATGTGTGCATTATATCTCTGAAAAATCACTAAACCATGGATGTTGGAGAATAAAGTTCAAAGTGGCGAAATTTTCAAAAAATCCACGGGAGACGTGCAACAGAATCGTCCGGGGCAGCGCCCGCGGCACGCGGCGCGTCGCGCGGCGAATGACTCAGCAGCTCACGTGCATTTGCTAGCCGATAGCTTTGCGACTGGAGCAAATGATTTACTACAGCGTACATCCGCAACATTTAGCAGGTTTCATCAATGATTGAAAATCTAATGATGTTTTTCTTGATAGTAACAGTAATACACAATTGGGCACTATTTACCCTTTACTGCCCCAACCATCCAGAACTGAGCCAGTTTTTGACCGACTTTTTTCTCCGTGGACAGATTTGGCTCAAATGTTGTCTCCTGGGGTAGTTTGACCTCCTAAATACGAATATCACGCTCGCTTAGCCCGAAACTTCCCACGCCACAGGCGCCGGTGATTTGGGGTATTTTGGCGCCAGCGCCTGTAGCGCGGGCGCCAGGAGGTTTCGGGCCGAGCGGATGTGATATTCGTGTTCAGGAGGTCAAACTACCCCTGGGAGCAAGTTTTCAGCGAATTTGGTGATTTCGAGTATTTTGGCGCCGGCGCCCGTGGCGCGGGCGCCAGGAGGTTTCGGGTCAAGCGGATGCGATATTCGTGTTCAGCGGGTCGAACTACCCCTGGAGCCAAGTTTTCAGCAAATTCTGCCCACGGAGAAAAAAGTCGGTCAGGAACTGGCCTGATTTCGGATAACAAAGGGTGAATAGTGCCCACAATTGTTTGGCGGTTCCATAAACGCAACTTCAGGAAATAAACAGATACAAAAGAAATCAGATAAGGCCGTGATTCTCCCTATGTTTATGTGGTTCACATGATTTGCGCAGTCGCCAGCGTCAATATAATAGACGGATGGCCAAGTTTTTCTGTGAGCTGCTGTAAAAGATGACAAACCAGAGCAAATGTTAAAGACCCCAATGAATTTCGTGCTCTATTGACTTTTCAAACTCTAAGGCTGCGTTTATACTTTGCGGCAGCGTAGCGTAGCGCTTCCAGCGTACGCCAGCGGCAGTGTCGGGGAAAGGATAGATATCGATCTAGCGTTCCCAGCGTCACCAGCGCACGCTGGCGTAGCGAGGGCACGGGAAGCATAGCTATCGATCTAGCTTCACCAGCGTTTCTCCAGCGTTTTCCCAGCGCTTGCAGCGACGGGGCTAGAGAGGGGCTAGAGAGTATTGAAAGTAGGAGAGTACAAAATACTCTCCTCCCTTCAATACTCTCTAGCCCCTCTCTAGCCCCGTCGCTGCAAGCGCGCCCTCGCAACGCCAGCGTACGCTACCGGTGCGGACTATGCGTGCGCTAGCGCACGCCAGCGTTACGCTGGTGACGCAGCGGAAGCGCTAGATCGATATCTATCTTTCCTGCCGACAGCTGGGCCGTGGCGTACGCTGAAGGCGCTAGCTAGGCGCTGGCCGCAAAGTATAAACGCAGCCTAGCTGAAAATTTATTCATAACTGAGCACAAGACTGGATCTTGGGTGATACCTATATACACCTTACCTTCAATAACCCTATTCAAACTGCCAAAAGCACGCTTCATTTCCTCGCTGCAAGTATGTCGTAGGCCACGCCCACCAACTGCACCGGACGATTCTGTTGCTACACACCCATAAATCCACCAGTAAGGGGGCGGGGTCATCGGAGGTCAAGTCTCCTATTAAATAAAAATTGGTTCAAGGGTCCAGGGGTCTGTGTGTAACAGATGAATGTGAAAAATTAGTATAGATGCAGTATATGGTGCATGATGTGTGTACTATGAGTGTAAATTGTTTCCGCGAAAAGGGGCGTGGTTATCTAGGAGTGGGTCTGCCGTCTGCAATATGCATGCGGTGGGTTCGTGCAAGAATGAAAAAAAGTTGTTTCGTGGAAGAGTTCTAAAAAGCAGCAGGGAGCACATGGTCGAAGAATAGAATTCTTTGGGTGTTTTAGCGCTTTAGGGCCTAGGTTCTATCACAATGGTTTTAATCCGAACCTCTGAAACAGTTTGACTTCCAGAGGTTAGAATTGAACGGTTCCTAAATGGTCCACCCACCCAGAGGTGGATACCCCGTCAAGCTAAAGCAAGTCTTGCTTTTCACTACGGTAATTCTAATTCAGTAGAAAGAGTCCTTTGAAGGTGGCTGCAATACCGCCAACTAAAGGGAGCTCACTCCGACAAATTTGACGAATTTAAGGTTGTGGATGGAGGAATTTCCTATCGTTTTAACGATGGCGCAGAAGCTACCGTGGAGGTGCACGAAGAGGATGCTCTTCAAACTGTGATATTCAGATGACAGGACAACTATAACTATATCATGACACTGTTTATAGACAGATTTTCTCTATGAAATTTGCCTTTTGCCAACATCTCTGTTGCCATCTACTAATATATTCCCTTTCACAGAGTTCGTTAATTTATTGTTCATTGCTTCCGGTGGCGCATTAGCCTATGTTGTACATGTTTGTGGGCATGTTTTTAATAAATTATTATTACTACCGCTACTTAGCTACGCTTTCTGCTCATATAAATTCTTCGGGGCTTATCATCTTGGAGGGCAGGAAAAGTCGCAGGTTGGGAATTCCCAGCAAAGGAGGGGGGTCGAATTTGGTCGGTGGAGGGAGGGGGAGGGTGTCGTAATTGCTTTGAAGACGTCTGACATGTTTTGGCTATCTACTTTTCTCGATCTTTCTTATTTTCAAGTGCTCTCCATGGACCCTTCACCCGCACCCCGCCCCTCACTCGAACGTTTGTTGGAGAAAATGAGGAATTTTGGAAAAAAAATTCCGGAAAAGTAGGCTGTAGTTCTCGAGGAAGGTTGTAGCTGGGATATAGAATGGGAATGTGGGGGTTCCATGTGAGAAGTGGAAGTTTTGAAGGGGGGGGGGGTGGGGAGAGGTGTCGTATTTTGAAAAGTTTCCCTCAACGGCAGCCCGTTCCTTGTTGGAGGGGCATTTTGCACTTTCGTCTGTTCCTTTTGTTAGTTCATGTTGAACAGCAGTCCACCTGTCGAGGTCTGTACTTTTGTGAAGAAGCAAAGCAGTACAAATGAGCCACTTTAGTTACAGCAATGTACACGTTTTCAGGTGTCTTGTGTAAGAGGGGCTCGGGTCTGTGCCCCACCAAGCCGAACTGCCACGTTGGGCCAACTATGCATCTGTGGGGGTCAGTTGATTGGTAACAGAGCTGCTTGGAGGGACGAGAATGCTGATGTGCAGGTCGACTAGCCCAACAAGTCATTGTTGTTCCAGGTAAATTCCCACTACAGTTCGAACGGGAATGCATGCCTGGGATCCTCCAGGGCAAGAAAAAGCCAGAGCGCCTCATGTCAATGATCTTAAAACCATCGTCCGACAGGTCGCGTTATATGGTGCTGAGTGCTCGTCCGCGAACAAAAAAGCTGAAGCTCTATTCGGTTCATGGAGATGAGAATGCTGCCTTAGACGGCGGGCATTACGTGATCAGACCGCATTGCAACGATGTTGTACGCAAAAAGTTCGGAGGGGCCTCATAAAACCGACAAAATGCGAGAAATGCGCCTCTGATGGTACGGTCATGTACTTTGCGCCAAAGCTGGCACCGTACGCGAAACTGGCTTCCACCTCGAAGTACTCGGAAAGGTCAAAACTGCGCCCCAAAAGCGCTCGACGCTCAGACTTGGAAGGTTGCAGGTATTCACCCGATCAGGCATTAAATCGGGAGAAATGGCGTCATCATATCAAAGGAGCGGACAGCGAAACAGAGTGGGACAAAAGCTGAAGAAGAGGAAGAATTCCGAAAGGGGATAGTATGCGTGGCGCATCCAAAAGGTACAGTCCTCACCATTGCGGACCGGTGGGGCGTAGCAGTGCGGCTGCATTTGGTGCGGTTTGGCAAAGTCGTTCTGCACCAGTTTTTGAAGCGAACAAGTGCATTGCTGTATAATATCCTTCGTATTACTCGTTTTCTACCACTTTTGTCGCATACGCGTTGCAACAAAAAGGCTGAGAACGGCTTCAAACAATGTGCGCGGCACGTCCTTCTGGGCTGACATCGCCCCACCCCGCCCGGTTGGCAATGATGAGGACTGTATTTTATCAGTGTCGTGAACTTTATTTTCAGTCCTCACTGCAAATTTTTTCTTGCGAAGCACGGCCCGTTCCCTCCCGACTTTCGTCACCTCTCCCCCCGCCGCCTATCTCCGTCCTAGAGACTGTCTTCCTTTTTTCCACTTTCTACCACATTTCGCTTTCCTCAGGAAAAAAACGCTGTGCGGAGAGAGAGCAGGAGAGGGAGGTCGCCACGGAACAACTACCAATCCTCTCTATATATATAAAGCAGAAG